TCTTCGGTTTAGCGCTATCAGCATCTTTCGTACTATCTTTGGTTTCGTGAATGTTCTCTGACGGCTTTTCTTGTTTGCTAGGTTCAACCGTAGTACTATTGTTGGTAACGACAGTAGTTGTAACAGCAGTACTGGTAGGAACAGCACTTGCTTCTTCATTTTTCTGCCGTAATGTTAATTTCGCATCTAACAAAATTAAATTTTAGAATACATCATTGGATTCAAGATATAAATTACGAAATAATTATACAATATTAAAAATTTTTTAATATCTACGTTAGTTATTTTGCTTTATTGTTTTAAAGAAATTATTTATTACATACTTTCTAGATCTTTCAAAGATTGTGGTTTTTCCCATACTGATTCTCCTGCTTTACTGTTGTAGTAATAAAATCTGCCGTCTGGTGCACGATGTTCGGTCCAAACCATAGCAGCTGCTACTAATTCAGAATCAAGTTGTGCTAGTATAGCAGGATCTTCAGCAGGTGTTTGAGGTGTCATTACACCATGAGGCATTTGTGGCATACCTAAAAAAGAATGTAGGTAGATTCTATATTTAATCTATTTATAAACTATACAAATATTTCCTTTTTTTTTCATCATTCATAAGATATCTTTTTCATTTGCGTATTTTATATTACCCCAATTTGTTTGTGGTGGTCCATAACCGCCAAAAGGTTGGAAACCAGGCGGTGGCATCCCGAAGGGCGTCGCTCCGAATTGCGTTGTAATCGGATTACCAAACTGATTTGGCATTCTATGCTGCATAGGGATCATATTTGGTGGCGGTTGCATTATGTTCGTATTTACCGCTGGTGTATTTATTGGTGGTGTATTGGTAACTGTTGTGGGTGCTGTGCCTAACATTTCAAAATTTCTCTTAATGACAATATTTTAAGATAAATTTAAAAAACTTAAGTGTTAAAATAAATACATAATGCTCAAAAATATTTTCAAAATAAATCAAATTACCATTTGATTGATTTGTTTCAGATGTTTGATTACTGACATCTGGTGCGTCATTTAATGTAGGTGGTGGTCCGGTGCCAGGAGGTGCCGTACTTAATTGATTAATAGCATCTGCATTTATATTATTAGAAGACGATTGTTCACCGCCTTGAGAGATTCTGTTTTCACTAATCTTGGTCGGTGTACTACTTGACGGAGTAGGTGTGGTAGAACGTGTTGCCGCTTGTTTTGATGCGCCATGTACTAACTGTTCCAACTGCAAAATCATGAGACACTTTGTTAAAAATTGTTCTGAATGAATCGTTTCAAATCTTATTTAAACGAACAAAATAAACTTTTAATTTTATACGACAAACAAGTAAACTTACCTTTGTTATAACATTGCTAATTGTCAATTTTTTGAAATATGATTCTTTTATTTATACTTCGTTCCCTTGGCTGTATTTTACCCGCGTAAAAATATATATCAATAAGTAAAATATATTAATAAAACTATTGGCAAAATAAGAAAAAAATACAAAAGATAATAAATATAATTTTATCGATATTGAAAAAAATGTACGACCCAGATATATAATCACGATCAAGGTCAATAAAAAAGTAAGATTATTTGCAAAAATAGCATTAATTAAAAATACAAATCAAAACTCGCATTTATTTACCTGATCTTGTACCATGACCTTTACATTTGGTCCCTCTGGCTTAGTCCATGTGGTATCTCTTGTACGAATATTATAATAATACGACTTGCCATCAGCCGCTTTCGTCTCTACCCATACTTCTCCATTGAGATCTAGACCTGGAATGTTTGCTTGCTGTTGTGCTTGTTGAGGTGGCTGCTGTTGTCCTGGAATCTATGGCATACATTTCATTATTTCAGGAAAATATTCTTAAATGCTTTTTATCATTCATTTCTTCAAAAACAAGCATATAAATGACCTATTATATGCTACCTACAAATTACATTACCAAAAACAGGTAAAGAATAATATTGGCAATTAAAGAGTAAATTTTTCATTACACGTAACTTACGCTGTTCATGTTAGGTGGCCCCATTCCAGGAGGTGGTCCATATGGACCTGGTCCTGCACCCATGGGGCCATTCATCATATGTGGTGGTGGCTAAAGCAATAATTAGATTTTTGAATTAGAAATCGATATTTATAAATGCATAATTATTAAGAGATTCAATAATATACCATTCCTGGAGGTCCCATCAAGTTTGGCGGTCCCATGAAATTAGGAGGTCCCATTGGTCCCCAGCTGGGATCAAACGGTGGTGGTCCTCGAAATCTTGGTCCTGCTGGACCAGGCGGACAATTTGGTCTTGGTGGAGCTTCGAAAGGAAAGCCATTGTTTGCTCCACGGAACATTGGCCCCCGTGGTCCAAATCCTCTTCCTCTAAACCTTGGGGACCCACCTCTCATAGGGAAATCAAACCCACCTCTGCCACGACCCCTTAAATTATTTTTATATGTTGTGACTAGATATCTTAGCGTTCTACCATGCCACTTAGAGGAAGGAAGATCAGAAGTAGCTTTCCGAATCTTACTTGACTCTTAAGAAAAACAAAAAGAAATGCTCCGCTCCACACGCTGCGGATCTGATCTGCTCGCGTCAGGCACCACGCATATTCGCGCAGTAACGCTTCTATGAAGAAGTACTACAAAGTTGCTTGTAAAAAGATCATAGCATTAATTAATTAAATCCCGCGCGAAGACGCGAGGGGCCTTCGCGCGAGCCGGTGTGTCGGTCCAAAAATAAAATTAAAAAAACCCGACATTCTTTGTGAATCATCTGCAAGGACTAGAGTGGAAACACACGATAGAATCGGGACGCTGTCAACTCTTGAATATCAGATAGGATAGATTAGATGAAAACAAAACGAGAAGAGAAAAGCATGCAAGGCTGAGGGAAAGTATAAAAGAAAAAATGCGGACAACACCGTGAAAAGATCGCCGCTCGCGGAGCCGGAATACGCGACGCGACGCGTCGCGATACGTACCGAAAGCCGCCTCGGCCGCGCGGCATAAAGTGCCTGTAATCATCGCCCTCATAGCTGTACTCCTCCGTCTCCTCCATTGCCTCGTCATTATGCTCTTGCTCGTTGGCGGAGGTAGACTCGGTAGCCGCGATCGCGGCCGGCTGCTCGCTGTTCGCGTCCATCTCTCGGCAGAAGAATTTCGACAAAAGTGGAAAACAACGGAGAGATCAACAAACACGCTGGGCACGTCACGACGGAGAAGCCCTGTCTCACACGCCCATTCGCTATCGCTTCACTCGTTATCAATCCCTCTGGCTGATCTTCGTCTGGCGCAGGAAAAAAAACGCTGCGGACAAATTACTATTCTACGCGGATACGAGCCGTAAACACGTCGTTGCAAACCACTGCAAACACACGCGAATTCCCCTAAACACGCCGGCGTGGCAAGCGGGTTCCTAAAGCCCGCATCGTCGACTTTATCTATTGAGAACCTCGCTCATTGGTCATTGGGGTTTGTTCCGTTGATCCCGTGGTGTAGGAACAGGAGTGGAGGAAATGAGATGGCAGATTGAATTTTTCAAACTCGGTCTAGTGTTTTTCGCTTCTTGAGAAATCAAGCCATGTTTGAGAGCGTAACTTGTATTTTGTAAACCACTACGAAGAGAGCAAGAGAGTCAAAATAATATCAATTTGATGTCATATTGATCGATTATTGATCAAATTTATATCAGTTTTTATAAAGGTCTATCATAATTTAATCAGTATAACATTATTTTGACTTTCCAATTGTTTTCCTTGAACACGAGCGTTTACGCCATTCATCATGATAATCATGATTAGTTGCTGATAGAGTTTTGAATATTAATATTTAGATATCTAGATGTTATTATTAATCACGTTACAAGTGATTACAACAGTAATTATTTGTTACTAAAAGCTTTGGCATTCAGAAAAAAAATGTGAGAAGAAAAAAGAAGAAAAAGTGGAATAAATTTCCATGAAATAATAATATATATTTTAATGAGAAAAAAGTAAATATAAAAATATATTATATAAAATATTAACCGTATTATAAAAAGTGCCATACTATTTATATTTACTAATATTATGATTTAAAAAGTATTTTTTTCTTTTCTAGATATGAAGTATGTAATGTGAATTTTGTCATCAGATTTCAATTATAATGAACAGTACTCTTAATTAACATTGACAAGTTTTGTGACTGTATTTATATAAAGTTATATGTAATCTAATATGAACACAATTAATCGCTGAGCTCACATTATGTGCAGAGACTTCTACTCTGTAATCCTTAACAATAGTATCGATGTTGTTATATTGAATCTGTTCACGTTGTTTGAAATCTTCAAAAATTTTTGTATGTAAAACTAAATATATTAGGTATTAAAGAAAAAAAAGAAAAGATTTTGAATGCAAAAAGTCCACAAACAATGCAAACAAACTATTATATATATTATCGTTGCATAGTTTTGTATAGGTCCATTTTTGTTCTTGTTGAGAGTGTAAAACTCTCTGTCTCCAAAAATATCAAACATATATCTCTAATATCTAATCAGAATTTGACAATTTGACTACACAAATTTTCATCTATTTCAATTTCTAAGGAATTAAAATAAATAGAAATAAATTCATGTTCATTTCGGAATGCAAAATTTTTCAAATACTGGGATATATAAGCTCTGTTTTTTTGCTGAACGGTTTACTTTTAGAACTTAAAGTGAAATAGATATATGTTTGATATTTTTGGAGACAGAAGTTTTACACTCTTATATTTAAGAAAAAACTGCTTAATGACAATATAACAACTCAAATAGCACAGCAATGCTTAAAAAAGCGCTTGTGTGTTTATTAATAAATATATAATTAAAAATATTGTTGTATATTTATTGTATGATGAATTGAAGGAATTTTAATTTTTATACACTTTTTTTAGTACTTTCTTAATGCTTTATAGACGATAGATAAGTTACTTGATAATATTGATACTATCGTTAAAAATTACAAAATAGGAGCTTGTAGTGTGTTTTTATATAGTACATTTATTATACTACGATACAGTATACTATGGTTATTATAATATAGTTTTCTCACTTTGTATTATGTGGAACTTCAACTGAACACAAAACATAATTCATTGATGCAATGTCATATCATTTTATTTTTATTTTCAATGTTGCGGGTCTTCTATTTGTAGAAGGAGCATCTTTTTTTACCCGAAATTCTTCCAGCATTTTCGCATACTTTTCATTATAGGCAACACATTTTTCCAAATCATCATCATTTGGAGGCATTGGCCAGTCTGCGTTAGAGTATGGTGTTACTTCGAGATTTTCAAACGAACCATCCTCTTGTCGTACAGCTAATCCAATTATCGCAGGATTCGTTACCACTGCCGTTAATGAAGTCAATCCACATTGAAATAATTGTGTAGAATCGGATAATTCCTTATATTCGTCAAGATGATCATTGTTTAGAAACATGATAAGTAGCCGTTGATCTTGTGGCTGTACTTTAAATATAGCTGCAAAATGTATATATTCATCTCAATATTAATGTGTTTATTGAAGTAAAAATCGTGTAATTCATCACACTAATATATCAAGAAAATGTTTCTGCCATTATGTCTCTGCCTATTAATTTTTGAGATATCACACTTCTTACGTAGAATCATTTCCTTCAGCTTAATAACTTGAGTACTTTCCGGCACATCGAGGTATAAAGTCGTCTTTTTCCGTCTAATTACCAAATATACTTTATTTTTACTAAGTATATCACATATTTCTTTGTGTGTTTTGTTATTGCTTAAGACCTCCTATAAAGATATTCTTAGAGATTAATTGATTTGGAAATGAAATGTATTTGGTAATCAAATAAAGTAAAATGGATTAGAAACTTACCATTGAAGCTAATTTTATATACTTAATAAAGCTAAAATCAATCAATATATTCTTCCTAGAACAATAATAGAGATCTATATAGAGAACTATGTTTATCAACAGGTTAACAATGTTGACAAATTCAGTCATTACCATTTGTGTATGCTTTTGAGATAAACATCGTACATACTCCTTAACAATAATATTATAATCTTTATAATAAAGATTTAAAACTTTATATATATATAGTTAAATTTTTATATATTCAGCTATGAATATATAAAAGTGAATTTAATATAAATATGAAATGAATCCTTACTTACTTTAATAAAACATCATTCTTTCTTTATTCCTTTTCTTATTCTTCCGTCATATTTTATGAATGTTTTCGCTTTTGAAATCGAACATTCTCGTTTCGATTAAAAAAAAAAACCTAAACACGCCATTTGAAAATCTTTCGTTCCAACTATGGAATATGTACGATGTTTTAAAGATATCAACGTAGCTAAGAAATCTCTCGAGATAATTTTACATAATTTTGATTTATGTAAAAGAAACAAATTTACATTCACGTAAAACATTAACTTGAAAACGGTAATATAATTATACAAGTGTTTTCTCTGCACGTGCCGCATCGGAAAAACTTGAACGAATCGAATTACCTTTTCTTGAATTTATTCAACGTTGTGTAATTTTCAAATATCATTAATTACCTTCACAATATTTTATAATCCTTCAGAACGCAGCTGCGAGAAAAGGAATCTCGCGAAAATATATGTAGAATAAATATGCAAAACTCGTAGAAAACAAATTATTAACTGAAATTATTGGAACTGCTAACACTTTAAGAACAACACGACTACCAATTGACTATCCTGTATGAGGAAAGAAAGTCAAGTCTGAACTAAACCGAGATTCATTGTCGCGCGTCCATCGATCCCAAATGCGCAATTTACAAAGAATAAACTGTAGTGGAACAAATTTTAGAATGGTAGTAAAAAATTCAATCTTAAATTTAAAATCGTCAAAAAATTGTACAATCTATTAAAATGTAATCTATTATTTACGATCTATTAAAATCGTACAGTACAGAAATATATAGATATTTATATAGACATTTCATTGGTTGGACGAAATCTTAAGGCCAGACTTGTTTAAAATCGAACTGTGAAATATCGCCCTTATGTTTATGTAGCCTCTTTAATACACGTATAAAGGTAAAAAAAGGCGGGAAAGACGTCTCACGTGGTATGTGATATCATTTGCTTATATTTAAATAAATATCGTATGCATTTCTAAGTGCTATCAAATAATACGAATAAATATTGAAAATATCAAGAAACATAAGCCTTTAACATCTACAGAGAATAACGAAAACAATGAAAAAGAGATACGGGTAGAAAGGTTAGAATTGAATGTAAGATACGTAGACGAAATATGGAGAATGTAATCGCAGGAAATAATTTATAATACTCAGTTTCATTTACGTATCTTACACTATATAAATGGTATTGCAAACGATGTTTGTATAAATTTTTATTTCATCGGATATGTGGCGAATACGTTCTTAAGAGAAAACAATACAACACAGGTTTTCGAGGGGTATCTTGGGAATGTCTCTGTGTTGTATAGGAATTGTTGAAGAGTAATTAAATGCAATTAGAAGATTAAATATATCTTTTAGTACTTATTGAATTTGTTTACAATTTTAATATATCACAAATGCACAATAATATAAATACATAGATTGGAGCACATTATTGTGTTGAATCAAAATGATCTGAATGTAAGGTTTAAGATAATTAAATGTTCTTTTTATTGTATATAAGATATTTTTATTAATAATATGTACAGTATGTGAAATTCTTTTTATTGTATATAAAATAGATTTGTTAATAATGGTGCACACAACTGATGAATCCATTAAAAACCTGCCTTCAAAATTGGGAAATAAAAATTCACAAGAATTTAAAAGACAGGATGTACAATATGAAGACTTGTCCATTGATTTTGATAGTAAATCGATTGATTTCTCCAGGCAATTCTGTAGCATATACGCAGTGAGATTGGCAGAGTTGAGAGAGACATTAATACCACGAGTTGTTGCAAAATGGGGTGAGCTTTATGTACTGCTGATATTTAATAAAATTCTACTTGATTAAATTAAGATTTTTATACACAAATATTTTGTGATTTTCAATATAAAATCAAGTAAATAAAAATTTTATCGTCTATATTTTTTTCAGGAAATGTTCAAATAGTAAAGTTGGCAGAATTGGAAGATTTTGAAAGACAAGAATGCGTGATAATTGGTACACTCTATAAACATCAAAAGTGTAAGCCATCAATATTACATGAATTAAGCGAAGATCATCAACTCACATTGTCTGAACCAAAATCAAACTACTGCTCAGAAAAGGATCAACTTTTCTTGGAAGATGAGATGCTGCGCATCAAATTAGTGATCGAAGATGCAGATTTAAAGAATTATGTCACAGGTGTTGTATGTGCCATTTTAGGTCACAAAGACAAGAACGGCAGCTTTGAGGTATGTAAGTGGATTAAAATTAAAACATATATACATATACATATATATGATATTTTATCCAGATCAAAGAATGGTGTTTTCCTGGTTGCGTGCCTAGAAGTTTACCTGCACAGCCAAAGTCCAAAGGAAAGCTGGTATTCTTATCTGGACTTGACTTGGCAAATACTTCAACGAACTTATCGTTAAATCTTTTAACCGAATGGATATGTGGGATGGCGGGAGAAGCAGTGGTGCAAGAGGATGCCACTGACATTGTTCGAGTTATCATTGCTGGTACATCGGATTTTTAATGTCTTTAATAATCGTATTCATTTTCATGCTTTAGTATTACTGAATTCTACATAGGTAATTCGGTCAAAACTGTCACTAAGACAAATACTTTAATGGGACACGCCGAAGGAAAGGCACAAGACGCCGCTATAACGAAGGAAGTCGCTAGTGCAACGACACTTGCAGATTCATTTCTCTACGAAATAGCAAAATGTTGTTGCATTATTGTAATGCCAGGTCAACACGATCCCACCAACGCAATGTTGCCACAGAGACCACTTCATCCATGCATACTACCATTAACGTCTAGGTATTGTACAAATATATATATCGATTACAGTCTAGATATATATTTCAACTTCTCAATTAAGATTATAATTCTTTAGAGTTACTTGAAAATTTTTGTCTATTTTTTTATAGCAAAGAAATATACATGATTTTAGTCGCTTTTGCAATTTATTTATATAAAGACTTTGGCAGTATTACAATAATTTGAAATCAACAATAATATAAAATTAATTTTTTATACATTTTTACGGATATATGACTTTCCGTCCTAAATCCAAGTATAAATAGTTCTGATAGAAATAATACGATATTTTTCAGATTTCAAAGCTTTAAAAGTGCGACTAATCCGTGGATCGGTAAAATCGCTGAACGTATAATAATGGGCAGCAGTGGACAGCCTATTGAAGATATTATAAAAGCAACCGGTGAGACAGATATTTCTCCTTTAGATTGGTTGGAAAAAACGCTGCTTTGGAAGCACATGTGTCCGACTGCACCAGACACATTACCAGTATATCCTTATTCTGTAAAAGATCCATTTATCATAAATTATTGTCCGGATATATACTTTGTGGGCAACACAGATAAATTTGAAACAAAACTGTGGAAAGGTAATTTAATATTATAGAAGAGATAAATACTATATTAAAAAATTAATATTTCCTTATATTTATAATATTAATTAAAATGCATTTAACACTTGTAGGTGAAGAAAATCAGATGATTAGACTAATTTGTATTCCAAAGTTTTCCTCTACACATATTGCAGTTATGGTAGATATAGAAACTTTAGATACTGAATTTATTTGTTTTGGAACTGAATGAATGCATATATTTGAATAAATTCACAATTTATACAAGACAATTAGATAAAAATAGATAATTTAATTATACGTGACATTTTTTTCACTGACCGATTATATCACTGCTGTTAATCTATATTTTTGCATATTTATTATATTACATTTTGAAATTTATTATAAAAAAAATTTAAAAATAAAAATTTTATATTTTGATAATTCTACATTTAATAGTAGATATTCTTTGGTTGCGTCTTATGCGTATACAATTGTGTCAAAACGTTGTATCTTCTCTATAATTATTTATCAATTAAGCTAATGCAAGTCGAAAAATGAAGTGAAACTTAAAAGATACAGAATTGGATTAAACTGTCAAAATTTGTTTTGTGATGTTAATCATTGTTACAATCGAGAAATATGCTGAAGATAGATAAGTAATAATCACGAAATGTTTGCATGAGAATTTGCATATTGTAAAAGAAAGAACAATTGGATTAAACTGTTAAAATTTGTTTTGTGACGTTAATCATTGTTACAATCGAGAAATGCTGAAGATAGATAAGTAATAATCACGAAATGTTTGCATGAGAATTTGCATATTGTAAAAGAAAGAACAATTTCTGTTGTCACCTATTTTTATTTGCACACATCTCGTAAAAGTGATATACAAAATTGAAACGCATGCGACTTTTAAGAATTCGTAGACATTTTGCCTGGTTATAAAACTTTTAATACGAAAGAAAATACATGTAGTATCACAGACTATTAGAAAATTGCGAAATCACAGTGACACAAGACTTTATTTATATGAACGCTTAAATTAACAAGTGAATATATACTTCACAAATTATACCAATGATAACATAACAGTCAAAATACAGAGCATCCGAATTTAACTAATAACACATTTTTAATATTAGTAATTTCTACATCAAATTTCACACGCTATGTCAAGAATATCTTTTTTATGATACATAAATTTACAATTTCTCTTTTATAATTTTATTTTTTATAACGTTATCCTTACCTGTGTGTATAATGTAATAGTAATATCTTAAGACACGACTCGGTCATATACGAAAATTAAAACAGGATTATCTTAATTCTAAAAAAAAAATCTATGCTTAAAGAAACTGATTTTGACTGTTACATAAATTACGTTTGCGAAATTAAGTGCAAAAGTTACGTTACGGACAATGTACAGGGATTTAAATACAAGTTTTGATATAAGTAAAACTGTAACGTACATTAAGCATTTGTAATATTAACATTTCTTGTAGAATATGTCACGCAGACTGCGATATAGTCTTTTTCACAAAATAGAAAAAGCATGTATATATTGGAAGGTACACAGTGCTACAGAACAATTCGATTGGCACTTTTATTTAAAGTGAAGAGCTTCGATCGCAAACATAAATATAGTTTTGTACAAAACCGCTCAATTTGTCATGAGATTCCACTTCTTTCAGAGAATTAATACTATTTACTATTTGTGTAACAGAGCAAAAAATCAATAATGCATATCCTAAACGTAATATGATGTTAAAGTTCTAATGCTTTGGCCAAAATAGCAATACTTAAAAAAAAATAATAATTAATTAAGGTTTTTCCATTAATTTAAGCAGAGAGAATGAAGTTATAAAATTTATATTTATAATACACTTTACAGGTTCATAATTAACTTAAGGTGCAATGTTACATGACCGATAGGTATATATAACAATTGACAGGTAGCTTCTGCATATATATATGTATATATATATGTATATATA